AGCCAACATAAAAAAATTAAGGATCTGTCAAGCTATAAATAAAAAACTCAAAAAAGGCAAACAGTCCACGAAAGAAAGAGCCTAAGAAACAACTTCCAAAAGGTATAAAAGCACCATAACACTCTATTTTCAAAGAAATTAGGGCTACCACTAGTATAACAGAATCTAAAAGGTCAACAGATCATCCAACTGTTAATAAAAACCCAAAAACCAAAACCAACCAACCAGCCAAACAAACAAACAAAAAAAAAACAGGAAAAAAAAAAGGCATTCAGGGAAGATAAGGCTCAGATGTTCATAAACAAGGAGTTTGGAAAGATTCCTATGTCAGAAAAGCTTCACAGGGGACACACAAGAATTTTTTCCTGAAGTTAAAGCCCTGACAGAAGTGCTTAGAGGACAATCATAAAAAAACCCCACAAAACCCAAACCCCCATTCCCTGCCCCCAAAAAGCAGGAATTTGCCAAGTTCAGATGAGATGATGCCCACAAAAGAAACTCAAGGATGAAACAAGTGCAGCATTAAATGTGTCTGCAGTTTTGATTTTTAACACCTTATTACCAGAAGATTCCCAAGAGGACTCAGCTCTGGAAAAAGCCCTGGAAGAAACCCCTGAAGCCATGATCACATCAGCCTGGGCTGTCTGTGTGGGCAAGGCAGGCATCACTCAGGAATGCTGATGCACAGGGCCAGCTCCAACTTCCCAAATCAGCATTTCTGTGGCTCTGCTTTTGGACAGAGATGGGCTCTGAGCTGGGCATTACCATGCAGGAATGAGACTCTGGCAGAAGGATGGAAAGCGCTATGGAAATGCCAAATCACTGCTCTGCAGCAGTGAAAAAGCAAAAACAACTGCAGGGAGTGACTGGGAGTGGAGCACTGGCTGAAATCATTACTGCCTGCACTGTAACTTCCAGCATAAGGGAACAGGAAGGAAAGGGAGAAGAAGATGACATTTATGTAAGGCAACTGAACACACAAACACTGCCTCCAGGAATTACTGCAAACCAAGTGAGTCTTCTGGGAGGCATCTGCCCTGCTCTTCCACCTTTGTGCTACTGGTCAGCCACAGAGACACAACATTGGCAAAAAGAACCTCAGCCTGGCCTGGAGGGCTTTTGTCATTTATTCTCCCTCTTTTTTTTTTTTTTTCCCCCAGAGCTGGAGCCTTAAAAATTGTATTGCCACTCCAAATGAAGGCAAAAGATAGACAGCAATGATACCTTAGGTGATCCAAGTCAACATCCACTGAAATCAGGAGAAGGAACCCACAGGAAATGGATTGAATCCCAAATCTCAGCCCCCTGTGAGGTCAGCACTGATGGGTCTTTGGCTTCAGTGCTGCAGGATGATGCCTACAGTGAGCTGCTCATGAACCACCCACTAATTCATCAACCCTTTCCCATCAACTGAGGTAACTGTGAATTTACCCTACCCAGAGCAGGAGAAAACCAAACCCCAGCACATGTGTTAGCAGCTGAAGCCCTTGAGCCAACAGTGGGACAGTGAGTGCAGGCACCACTGGCTGCTCTGGGGATGCCCAAACAGCAACACAAAACCTGTCCTTACACAAACAGGCTGCTCAGGGTGACAGGCAGTCACTGCAGACCTTCAGAGCTTCCTTTTCTCTGAAATACTACACAGCAGGATGATGAGCTGGACAAAGCACAAGAAATCCTAACAGAAAAGAAGGAAGCATCCACCTACCCCAGCAAGTGTCCCAGGATGGGAAGTTATTTTATTTTTGACACACACCTGTCACCTACACAGACATCCACACATTAGAAATCTGTGGCAAAACTCTATTCATTCTGCTTTGACAAACCAATGAAACAACACAATTTGGGTTTTTTCCTTCTCCCATCAAAGGTCAAGCAATGCTGCTGCTGCCTCATGCAGTGAAAACAATCAGAAGCTCATCCCCAGTCCATGTGGGTGTCAGCCTGACACCTACACACTGAACAGGCACAAGGTTTCCAACCCTGGGCAATATTTACTGAAAATGTTTAACTAATAGGAGCATTTTGTTCATATGCAGAAGGGAAAAGTATCACCCTAAAATATAATACATTAAAAATGTATGATATTTTATAAAAATAGAATGTATTGTAAAATAGAATGTATTGTAAAATATACAATACAAAATGTATTGTAAAAATATAATGTATTTGTAAAAATACATCTCTTTTGTATAAAAGAGATGCTTGGTATTAAAAGAGTGAAAGAAGTAATTCTGCAAATTTATGGCAACCTGAAATCTAAGAAAAGAGTCTGTCCCAGAAGGTGTTTAACACACCAGGGTGTCACTTAAGAGAAAATAACTTAGGAGAAAATCAATATTATGGAATAGAGTCATTAACAGAAGAATGTATGGACACAGGTATTTCAGAAAGCTTCCTTTAATTTTAAAATATTTCTAATAAACCAAAAAGATAAAATAACCTAGTGGAAATAGGGAAAATTAATTGGGAAAAAATAGTTTAATGTGATCAACAGGTAAGTTCCATTCTTTTATCCTGTTTGCTTCAGCAGAGCTCCATCCCAGCAGAGTCCCTGGGGACCCCTAAGGGCAAGAGCAGAAATGAGTCTGTTCCAAAGGACACTGGAAATGAGTAAGTGCAAGTCCCTGTGCAGCTGCAGCTATCAAAGAGCACAGCAAACCTTTTCCAGCCACTTTGAAACAAATCTCACCATCCAGTTTCTTTGCTTATAGCCAAAACCCAAATATGCTCCATAAAAGGATTAGAAGCAGCACTGCCTAGAAAAATTAATGCAACACATTAAGAATATCAACCAAAACATGGATCTTATACAAGATGAAACAGTTCTTGTTGTAGTGCGTTCTTATATTTTGGAATACTTTGAAGTAGTTTGTTTTGTATTCCCATATTTTTCCCAAATGGTTTATCCCAGACTGTACCCCCCCCCTTTTCCCTCTACTTGTGTTATCCCTTTCCTGGGATGAGACCTCCAAAACCCCCACCCTGGCTCTCTGTCAGTCACCTCGACATCCCAGCCCCCTATCCAGAAGTTTCGGTCCAAGTTGTCGAGTGATTAGCCAGGGGCTAGGGGTCAGCCCCCCAAGTCCTGCCCCATATGCTGTTTTGTATGTCTGTCCCCCCAGCACCCATCCCCCAGAGATACCTATTGGTCAGTAGGATTTTATCTATGTTGGTTTCCTCCCCCCTTTAAATGTGAACTCCGGACATCCCCCGGGGCTCTCGGCAGGAGGCCCCTGAGGTATAGGAGCTCGCTCGGGACTCCTTAATAAAACCTTGGAATATCCCCTGCTGGGAGCCGGCCCCTTTTCTCTTCCACCGACGTCTCTGTCGTCTCTGCTGCAGCGAAGGCAACCAGCCTGAGTGCCCTCAGCACCCTCGGGGCACAGAGAGTGTCTCCCCGCAGTCGGCCGTGGTGGGGCCACCCCCCCATTCTCTGCCGACCCGGGTAAGGCCCAGGGACATTGAGAGGTTTGCAGAGAGACTGAGACAAGTTCTACAGCTGTCAGGGATTCCCTTTCCTCTCCTGTCCTGAGCAGTCACACACAACAGCAGACTTGGAAGAACACATGAGACAAAGTCACTGCTCCCCAGAACTTCAGCTAAATGAACATTCAAGCTGTGTCTCCCAAACATTGGACATACAAGTGGTGAAAATCTCACTGGAGAGCAGGTCCCCCCAGCTCACAGCAGCCCCTCCACAGGCACCCCCAGGGATTCCTGACTGTCACACTGCACACTCCTGTGGGCACCTCCAGCCATGCTCACAGACCATCAGTGCTGCCCTTTCTGCCTTACACAACACACAGTATGCTGATACTGGCAACAGGAAAATCAAGGTAAGATTTAGGTTAGCTTTAAATGCCTTCCTCCTTTTAGCTGCTCACAAGTCTGTGGTACAATTTCTAGCTCCTGTCCTCTGTTAAAACTAAGTGTTTTACTGAGCTGAAGCACTGAGAAAAATCTTTCCATTCTTTTTGGGGCAGTTGCTTATGAAATTAGTTTAATTTTTTTTTCTTGGATACCGGATTTGGTATTAAATATTAACTGAAGCACAAGCACATATGTGATTCCCTTCTGAAAAAACAGTTTATGTATTGAGTATAAGAAACACATTTTGACTGTTCCAAGCACAAGCAGTAAATGTTTAACATGCAAATTCCCTCACACACAATATGCAATAACCTTATTTTGGCACACGGTTACAAACACTACCCTACCAACTGTACAGTTACCTTCAGTGTTTTTTCAATCAACTCTGAAATTCCTAAATACAGCAATACATTTTTTTCTTTTAACAACCAAGTTCTTTCATTATTTTCCAAAACTCAGTTTACAAGATTTCCAGTCTACTTTTTACCTCCCTCAGTGGTTTCAGCAAAGATTAAGGACAATCAATTCTTTCCAAGCTCTCTCCTGGAGCTTGTGTCTGTTACCTCATTTCCTGGCTCCTATGAAGCAATGTGAGACAAGACTTTGGTGAAAACTATCATCATAACATTTACATTTTCAAATACTGAGTTCAGTTCCTCAAAAATAGCAATGAATCCCTTGGCATATGAGACTGAAATTCTACCATCACTCTCTTTTCTTCAAGTGGTCATGCAACTGAGAAGGGTTTTTAAAAACATTCCCAGACAGTTTTCCAACTCCCCCAAGCAACCATCTCTTCTTTTCTCTCTTTCCCAATTCCCAATGACATATTTCACAGAACACTCCAGCTCTCAGACACTCTCAGGGTGTTTCAACCCTTGTTCATCCCTGCTAGCTCTGTTAAGCCTCTCCCTTTCACACTCATTCAAACCACAGTACATAACACACAGCACCATACCTTAAATTTAAACAAAAAAGAAAAATTGTTTTCCTTCATCATTCAGGCAGACTTTTCAATCAATTAGAAATCAGATCTTTATTCAAGATCAGATTAGATTTGAGGTCAAGGACTACACATCATTTGAAGCCACACAAAACAACTTTATTGATTTAATATAAAAACTTACCCACTTGGCAATTGGACACCCCTGAGAGCTCTTTCCTTCCTTTCCTGTATAAACCACCACCTCAATTCTTACAGCACTTCCTTTTGCTCCATACCTGCATTGAAAAAAGTTCATGACTAAAACAAGCTACTATAGGCAATTTTAAAAGATGAAACATTTTCAATAAAAGATTAATGAATTTATTTTTACTTAGAACAGAAGAAAAACAAAGTATTTATAAAGCAAAAAAAAAAATCCTTTTACTTTAAAACCCTACTTGCAAGAGTAGTTTTTGACATCTCTCTTCTGACAAACTTCTGCCACTAAGGAAATGTTATCTGCATATAAATCCTAGTGCAATCAGTCTCTATTATGACCTTGTTTTTTCCAGTTTGCCACAGCTTCTTTACAGGTAGGACACCAGAAAACCTTACTCTGCCAGCTGCTGATCTCTGTCCTTCCTATTGACTTCCAGGGCACCTCAGAACACACTGCACTTGACCTCCAGCCCTGGGCTCAGAAAAGACACACGAGTTTGGACCTGCAGTGCTCATGCTCACCTCATGCACATCTGAACAAGAAAACACTTCACAAATGAGTACTGACAAAAGTGCAATAAAACAAAGCTAAACACAGCACTTCCTTTCTTAGAGCTCTACTTCTTCCCTGTTCAGACAGTCAAAAATGCAATGACATTAAAAGCTGAATTTTCCTCACCTGTTCTCCATAATTTCTCTCACAGCAGCAACACTTGGTCCTGTCCCGAGGTGTGTGTAATAGGGCCCTTCATCTTTTTCTATAATTTGCTCTGTAAACAGGTAAAGAAAACTATGTTGGCACATCCAAAAATTTATTTACCCCATTATAAAAGTAAACTTAGAAGCAGTTTACGGAAATGCCTTCTAATTAAATTAGAACACAAAGTTTGAGCCTGAATAAAGAATATGACAGGCTTTTCTCCTCAGACACTTTGAAATTATTTTATGCTCCAATGATTCTGCTAGCATTTTTTTAGTGTTATAAAGTAAAACCCTAATTAAAGAATGCAAAACATTGCTGTAAAACTTTCATTAGAGGAGCTGGCATGTAGTGACTACATAAAATTCCCAATATCTTTGTTGGTAGGAACATTATTAATTAATTTCAGACAAAGAGGAATTGAGGGCAGTAAAATAAATTAACTGACAGTCCTATCCTACAGAACAGAAACCATAACCCAGACCTCTAAAGAAGCCCTCTGTTGATTCAGAGCATGCAAGCCAAGGTGAAGATCTGCCTGCAGCCCATTTGCTGTGAGGCTCTGACCTGTCCTTCCCCCTGGGTGCCTCCACAGTGACCCCACAGCGTGTGTGACACCCTCAGCCAAGCCCTGTCTGCACAGCCCTCCATGCCCAGCTGGCTCTGCCATCTCCTGCTGCAACAGAGGCACCTGAGCTCTCCCATGTGGCCAGAGGTGTCAGGAGCCCTGGGCCTGGACTCTTCCAAGCCATCAGGACTGACAGTGGCAGGAGCAAGGCCACCCCAGCTATGCTCTCCTGCTTGTCTAAGAGATTTTTAAGCAACAAGAACAATACACTGGGACACTGCTGCCAGCCCAGTCAGGTACAAACCAGTTCTAGACCATCAAATTCATGACCTGAAACAATGCAGGTAGGTGCATATAAAGCACAAGTCAGCAATAGCAGACAGAAAAACTCCCCTTCCTCCAGGTTTAAATTTAAGTGGAGGATTTAAACCTGCCAGGTGCAGTACAAAACTCAATTTTGCTGTGCTCTGCAGGCCCAAAGAACACCAAGCAAAAGTTGCAAAGAGGGGAAAGAAAATTTCCTCCTGTCTTCTACTGGTGAAACACCGATTCTTGTGCAACAGCTGTCACATACACTTCCTCACATTAGAGGAAGCAACGTGAGCACACCTCCATCTGAAATGTACAGGCAAAAGTTAGCAAAACCACTTACCAACACAGTCACAAGTTGGCAATTCAGATTGTCCTTTTTTGGTAGGTGTGTCTATTAAATTTTTTGTAGGGGTATCAAGAAACTTCATAGGTGATTCAAGGAAACTGCTGAGCGTGTTTTTTGCTGGGGAACACCCTGAGTCGCCTGTGCTCGGGGCGTGGTCAGTACCCAATCTGGTTGATGTCAGAACGGTCACCTCACCCACACACTCCATATTCCTGAGAGCTTCAGCAGAAGCTGGCACCTGGGCCCCAGCACAGGGAACAGGCAGCACCTGGCACTTCGGATCTACCTGCTGAACATGGGCTTTGTTCTCACTACACATCTCCTTAGCTCTCAGGTTAGACCGGTTAAAACTTGGTGGCAAAGGATGCGCCTGACTGACATTTGCTGTTTGCTGTACCTGAGAATTACATTTTTCTGTAAACATCTGTAGGTTTTCAGTTGGCCTTTTCAACAAGGATGCTGTTTTCAGCTGAGAACCAGCCAGAGGATTACGGGAGGACAGGTCGCTGTGTTGGCTACGTGCAGCAACTTCATTTTTCATTGGATCAGCACCTAGTGGGTCACTGGAGCCCACAGTTTTCATTTGCTCATTCACCACTTCACAGCCAAAAAACCTGTCTTTTTTTTTCTCCTGCGGTGCCTCAGGTAAACACCTGTGGAATTTTATCTGTGCTTGTGGAAGAAATAATCTAGTTTTTTCTTGTGATGCTGAAGTATTTTGACTGAGCGCTCTCTGTACTTTGGTTCTCGGAGATTTTTTTTCAGATGGAGCTACCCTGGAGTCCTGTGGCATGGTTTGACCAAGCTTATGCAGTTTTGATGATATCCAAATGTCCTGCAATTCACTATGCTGGCATGACAACAGCTCTAGCTGGTTTGGATTATTTTGTTGATAGCGTGCTTCTGGAGGCTTCTTTTTGTGTCTCGGTTTCCATGGCACACCATTTCCTTTCTTATTGGTTGCTTGCTTTTGCTTTAACAGTAAGGAACTATAATTACGCCTAAAAAATACAGATTCTTTTTTCTGCAACACTTCTTGGTTATATTTTGGCTGCCTCTCATGTGATATTAGATTAAGCAGTGATGCCTTTATGTTGTTCTTCTGCTCTGGATTCGCCTGGTTTGATTCAATCAGGGCTGCCAGTTGAGTTAGCTGTGCAGCCACATCCTCTTCATCCTGGCTGTGAATTCCTCCTTCTTTAATCAAAGAACCACCTTCCAATTTCAAATCACTACACGATGGCTTTTGCTCCAGCTGGCCAGGAGCTTCCAAGTTGTTCCCTGTATGCTGCACATCACATGAAGCACTGCAGAACCCTGTGAGGGTGACTGGCTCATGAGCACAACTTTTGTTGGAATCGTATCCTGAAAACGATGCTGCACCAGATGTTAGGTCAGATAAAGTTTTGGTATCTCTTGAGGGTAACTGTAAATTATACATCTCCCCAGCTGGATTGGCAGGTTTATCACACAATTCAGACACTGAACTTTGGCCATTGTATAACACTGCCTTATTAGGGAGCTGCTTCTGCGAGGGAGTGCAGTGAGCCAAGAGCTGTTGCTCATTCTGTAAGTAAGTGTCTTTGATTTCTTGTAATGCAGAGGATGTAAAGGAGGATGAGATATCCCTTTTAAAACTGTGGAGCAAGTTGGAAGTTGTTTCTCCTGTATGTTCAATACTTTCACTTTTAGCTGGTGAAGTTGTTTCTAAAGGAGCTTCAGATAACTGTGTTAAAGCTTCAATAGCTACAACCTGCTCCAGAGTTAAATTTCTGGTTTTAATCAGGGACAAGAAAGTGGGCTGGAGTGCAGTATTCTCAGGCTGTGTCTCCACACTTGGTACTGTAAAGCCATCCTTCCCTGCCTGCAGCTCCCCTTCAGGCAGCAGAGGACAACACAAGCTTTCTTGCACATCCAAGCTGGAACCTGTTTGCAAAACTGACTGATCAGAATACTCAGAGATGCTGAAGGTGCAGTTTTCCTCTTTCATTAAAACATTCCCTTGGTTTTCTGGGTGAACACAGCCAGTGCCACTTGTCAGAGTGCTTACTATGTTATTCAGAGTGCCACCCGTTGGCCATTGCATGTGGGAGCTGCTTGTCAAGTCTGTCCTTTCCTCTGCAGGTACATTGTTCAGGGAAGCAACTGCTTCTGGTGGTGAATAATGCAGGGTGTTGATGCCATTTCTGATGGTGTGCACCGAGGGTTTTTTTGGCTCAGGGAAGGGGCAGGGAGAGGCTGCCCTGTGGCTGTGCTCGGCGTGCTTCGAGTGTGGGGTGCCCGTCACGGCTGCGTGGATGCCACCGTTGACGTGGGCACCAAAGGATGGCTTCTCAGCATGTGCCCACTTCTCTGCCTCCAAGCCAGTCATGCTCTCCTTCTCCTTACACTGCACATGTTCAATGGGTACTGCTTGCTTTGTCTTCACCCTGTATTTTTCACCATGACCACATATACTGCATTCCATGAGTTCTGGTCTGCGGCCATTTACTGCTTTGTTTTCTAAATTTGCCTATAAAACAACAATAAAAAACTCTTGTTGTAACAGCTGTTCAAAGCACATTAAAAATAAGAAGCTTCATATTTACAGCAATTAAACCCTACTTGGACAGACACAAGGAATATCCTAATTAGGCACAGACATTGGAAAATAAACAAAACAGGAAGTTATAAAATAACCTGAAGGCTAAAGACCCTATCCATTTTTAGAGCTATTTTCCCCCACTGTTGAAGGACAGAGGAGGAAGGGAGACTAATGAAATGAATAGTCAGATAAAGGATGTTAGCATTTAGAATGAAATGTAAGCATTCCATTTTGAATTAACTTGGATGAGCAGATTAAAAAAGGGTAAAAAAATTATGTTAAAAGTAAGACTGAAATCCAAGGGATTATATTACAAAGTTCAGCAGTAATTTGGCATAATCACATTCATTTGGCTAGACCAATAAACTGGCTTAACCAACACCACTTGGTTGGATACTCTAGCTAATCCTGAAAACCAACCATTCGTGCTTCAAGTCCTTAAATAATTACAAACCTTAATTTCATTAAGCAGAAATGAACAGAAAGCCAATTTACATCAGTTCACTTGGAAGTTACTCTTTAAACAGTTGTTTAGCTTCTGTATTTAGATGGAAATTTCCAGGTTTCTCCACAGTCTCTCATGTAAGCTATTCAAAACTGTATTTTAGTAAATGCTACATTTTAATGTTTTGTTAAATATGTTCTTTATCTTCACTGATATTATACAGTTCATGTGGTTGAAGTAATGTCAAAATCTAGACAGAATCAGAATATTGTGCCCTGGAAAGAATATATATATATATACTTTAAGATAGCATTATGGATATGAAGTAAGGAGTTATACAAAGTAAAAATAAAACGAATTAAGGCAGAAACTTATGCAGAACAGTAAATAAGGCAGGAATCCAATTTTTCTTACGCTATTCAGATTTTATTTATATTAAATTTCCTTTAAATATAATTTTAAATCACAGTAGATAGTGCTGTTCCTTTATCTGATTTAAGAGTTCTTCAGTCCCCTGTAGCCTTAAGCTACACTTAAAAGAAAACCAGGACTGCTTTTCAAATCAAGTATCAGCAACATGGGGCTAATTAATCCTGTGCAGGCACAATACCTCACAGTGCCCAGAAAATCCCACCACTATGAACCATTCAGTTAACTCAGAGATGGTGCTGTGCTCATACCAACAAAGGCATGGACTTCTGACAAAACTCGGGAAAATAAATGCAAAATAGATTTATGATTAATTATACCATCAGATGGAATTCTCACAAATCCCCAGACAAAACAAAGCATACAGGGAACAATCTGGAGCTCAGTGGTCACCTTGGAACTGATAAAACACAACCCCAGGAATCCACAGCACATCCTAGATGTTCTGAGAGGCATCATAACTTCTCACAAAATGTGTAAAAACATGTCCAACACCTGTGCAGCTAAGTCAGTATTAGACACACAAAGATTCCTTATTAATGTCTTTTCAGCAGCCCCAGATCCTCACTAATGGTCAGTGAGCTGGAGCTCCTCTGGTTCCTGGTGATTTTCTGTGAGTGATTCCCAGACTCAGGAGGGCACTGAGCACTTTCTAAGGGATCCACAAAAACTGAACAGGTTCCACCATTCTATCACTGGCAGGGGTAAATGCATCACACAGGTCTCTGTCACTGTACCAGAAAATATTTTAAGGGTCCACCATAAAAGAGTAAAACCCCAGAATTCTATACCTGCACAAAAGCTGAATTGCAATTGCCTTAACTTCAGAAAGAAGCAGAATTGTTGTTCTTTCTTAAGCAAAAGTACATCTAACATCTCTACCAATCTAGAAGATTCCCAACCATGTAAAATTTTTATTAAAATTATTTAATCAGACAATGAGGAGGCTGTGGACATAAAATCAAGTAGATGAAAACTAATCCCCCATCAAGTGCACATTTTCAACACAACACCACATTTTGTATTCCATTCATTATTATAGGAATTGTTCACTACATTGAAGAAACTAATAACTTAAGTCTGGTAATTTGGGAGTAATAAGAGGCACAGGGAAGGAAGAGGCTTCATCCACAATTAGCAGAGATGAGAAGATCTGATACAGAACCCACTGACAGCACTCAGTACAAAGTGTCACCACAGTCCTCCCAACTAGCCTGTTCCTCAATAAAATACTTTAGCTGATCAAAAAGCACTGCTATGCTCAGAAATACTCAGCATATTCCATGATCTGCTAGAACTGCACAGGTAGAGTGCTGTGTCCTACAGAACTCCAGTGATCCCAGCAGCAAAGGTAGAATTGCTTAAAAAAAATAAATTCTTCATACTTCATATTTTCCACTAACATTACTAGAAGCTGCCCACATGCAATGAGGAAGAAAAAAACCCCAGATGAATCATATCACTGGCATGAGTTAGTTATTTCATATTCTATTTTTCCACATGAAGACAAAATATTGTCATTGAATCAGCTGTTATTGTTTTAATTAAACTCTGCCTTGGGAGCACTGTGTTGCTTTATCTCCTCTTACTGAACTGCAGTGGATACTAAAAGATACATTTCTTTTCCCTCACAAACAGGAAAGGCCCCTGGATAGTCTGTTAGCATGTGAAGTCAGTATTTCCCACCCCAGAGAAGTGCAGACACACTACCAGGGACAGAGCTCATTTGATTCTTCCCCTCGAGCTAGGAACAATCAATGCTCAAGTCCTGAACCTGCAACAGGACTTGAAAAACCCAGTGAAAAGTACAGACAGGGATATCACAACCCCGAGCACAGTGATAACATTCACAGGAGGTAAGCACAGATGTGATCTGGTTCTGAGGCTTTTACACAATGCAATGAAAAGCTGAAGAATAAAGCAGATCAACAGCAGCAGTTTCCTCTCTCATTAAGGAGAGCTCTACTCTGCCAGGAGACACGAGGCACTAACAAATCATGCTCCAGCTCAGGCTCTGAGCTGCTTTGTGCCATTAGGACAGGAAGCACAGAGCCTCTGTGGCCATGGCTGTTCTACTGAACTTCAACCAAATACTGTCTCATATTTATACACACAAGAATTCCTCTGTGAGCTAATGCTTCCAGCACACACCTAGAGCCACTTACAGCAAATCAATTGACATTCTGAAGTTGGATTTACTATTAAAACTTCTCCTTCAACACATGATGCCCCTGAGGTAACGCAGAATTCACCAACTCCCCATCAGAAGGCAATGCTTAAGCTAGCCCAAAGATAGTTCCAGATCTGAGCAGCAAGCAGCCCATTGTTTGTGTGTCATTTCAGAGCTCCACATGATAACAACACACACTCTACTGAAGGACACCACCACCATCAATTACTCTCATCAACAAGAAATAACAGATGATGCCTTGCCCAACTACTGATAAAATGCCTCATCAAGACAAGCAAGTCTTGATGAGTTACACAACAATTAGTGCCAAATCCCCCAACCAGCCCTCCCTGTAAGATTCTGCTCAGGTCCCATGTGAAGCCAGTGCCCAACACAGCAAACAATACTTGCACCCCCTGCTTGTGCCAAAACTGAGATGACCCAAAAGACAGCTCTTCCAGGGTCACAACATCCATCAGCACAAAAGGATGAGTGGGTGAGAAGCCCCTGCAAGCTGCAGGGCCATGGGTAAGCCTGGATCCTGCTGCAGTGTCTGCAGCCACACAGCCAGCCCCACATGGCCCTCCAAGCTGGGACAGAGCTGGCAGCTCCTCAGAGATCCAAAACCACAATATAGTGTAAGTGCTGCTTCAGAAAAACTGTTTGGAAAAGGCCCCAAATGTATTTAATCTAACATTCAAACATGGATCATGGTCCAACAGTCAGGTATTACTGCCCCACCAAGAGGCAAGAAAGCACCACCCAGCTGACCAGCAGCAATTTACTCTTCTGTCATTTATTCCTGCTCTCTGCTTCCTGGTACATGTAGAACTTCATGCAGAAATTCAGCAGAATCGAGGACCTGCACTGCACAGGACCAACAGACAGATGATGCCCTGAGATAAGGAGATAAGACAGGGAGAGGACAGGCAACAAGGAGAGGCAGCTGCTCATGCCAGTGCTATGTAGGAAGCCATGCACTGGTTAGAACAGACAGATAGAAGGGGAATGCTATGGAAGCTATAGTTCACCTCCTGAATACAGCTACATTTTGTTCTTGGATTTTTTTTTTAATTTATTAAAGGCAGATACAGTAATACAACTAAGAATAAGCTTCTATCTCTGACCACATGACATGTCTGACTACTGCAATAATGCAGACAGCAGCAGCAAGGCTGCAGCAGGAGCAGGGTGCCCAGGCAGGCTCCCAAAACAGAACAGCAGAGTAGGGGCCCAGCTGCAAGCTGGGGAATATTCCCCATCAATCTCACCATAGGAATAAAGCAGGTACCAGCACACTGTGTAACTGTGCACATGAAGGAGTCTCTCAGGGTACCACACTCCTGCAGGGGCTCAGCTAAGGCACATTTTCTATAACTATGAATGCACAGAAACACATTGGGGACCTTTGTTAATGTAACACAGCCTGAATGTACAAGGGGCTTTGTTCTGCAAGAGAGCAGCATTCACAGATGGCATTGAGGGACAGCACAGGACTTGGCAAAATATTGTGGGCAAGTTTTACCAGAAGCTGATTTATACAGAAACCCAGAGGAACAAGAGGTTCTGCAAATCTGGAGAGAGGAACCTGACCTGGGGCATGACATTCAGGCTTTCCTGGAGGTATCCCACTCACTCCAACTTCCCTGAGTATCAAACCACCCACTCACCAACTTGAGCATCACAGCAAAGCAGCATTTCACACTGGATCCTAGTACAGCTGAAAAGTCTGCTCTAGCAAAGAACATTCTCCAAGCTGCAGCTTAGCTCTCCATTTTATCTCCATTTAATCTACATTTATATTCTCCTTGCCATGTTCTTCAAATACCAGCCAACCTCCCCACCAGAAAAGCTCCTTATTGTCTCTTTCCAGGAGGAATTAGC